GGGTGGGGGGGGGGGGGGGTGGGGGGGGGGAGCCAGTCTGCAACTCTCTTTCATTGATAAAGGCGGTGAACATCCTCATGAGCTTTGTGTAAAACTTTTACCCAGAGACAGACTGATTTGGGGTTTTGATCCCTTTTGTGGGTTGGTTTCCTGGGTGCTGTGCCCTAAAGCATGAAGTGGTTCAGTGTCCGCACTGTGCTTCGGGGGTGGGGGTGGTAACCCCAATTCTGTGCCTTGTCTGGGGAGACCAGAGAATCTGGCCCAGCAAGACAGAGTGGTGGGGAGCCCCAGAGAGCAAAGTGGTGGAAGTCAGTGGTATAATCAGCACAGCAGGGAACAATCCCAAGGGGTCTTCTATGACTGCACCCCTATCACAACCACCTTGCCCCCCATCCTTCCTGAAGAAGCTGTTATCCGCAACATCAGTATTCCAATAATGAGACTCATCCTACCAAGTCAGTGATATCCAGCTGTTATAATTTATGTGTTAACGTCCAATTCTTCCTGTTTATTCCCCATACACTTTGCATTTGACTGTACACAAAGATGTTAAGCAGATTTCCCCACTGATTTACTCATTGCTCTTATGACCCCACTGTAATTTTCTATCGCCCCTTCAACATCTAGCTCCATTAGCTTCAAGGTCAGGCAGTTCTAAAATAAGTGGTTTTAAAAGGTATATGTAACAAATTGAATTGCTACAGCGTCTTCTGCCCAAACAAACTTTACCTAATGATTTCAGCATACTCTTTGTCTTTTCCTTTACTGTCTCTCCATTTCCTGAACATGACTGATGCATCCACGTTGGCTGGAGAGAAAGTGTTGGGCTCATTAAGCAAGGAGATTACACTCAGTAGGATAGTCCTGGGGGGGAAAAAGAGCAACAGTAAGTTACACAGGTTAAAGCTAAGCACTCACAGATCTATGGTATAAGCCTTCAGGAACATATTTAGAGCTGTGAGTTTAAGGAGAATGTAAACTTACAAACCCCAGTGAAATGAAAGCACAGTGAACAGCATGACAGGATTTGTACACTCACGCCACCACTACCCAGGAGTCTCATAGGTATGTGTGGGAAATAGAGGAGAATGGGATGGTAGAGAACAAACAGGTAACACCAGCGAGACTGTAGCATAAAAAGTTGTGGGAAAAGTTTTGCCATCCAGCAAATATTTAAGACTTTGGAAATTGTTCCTGATAAGTACTGGGGTGGACCCAAGATCTTTAAGTTTTTCTAACAAAATAATGCTAGAGATTGCCCCCTCACACATCTCACAGAGTAGCCAGTAACTCAGAGGTCAGGACACTCACTTGGGATATAGAAGACCCAAGTTCCAGTCCTGCATTATCTGAAGCAGAAATGTGAACCTGGACATTTCCCACATCTCCACAATATGAAATATCTAATAACTCAACTTCTGACGTGGCAACGATGCGCTGCTTAATATTTGGTTCTTTTGTTTAAAAATATATTAATAGGTTATCGCTTATAATTAAAGAAAAACACTTCTAATTTGGTGCTCCAGGCACCCCCTAGTTTGCCAATAGGGTTAGGCCGACTCTGCTCAGGGAATATTCTTCTTATCAGGCTAAGAAATACAAGTCAGACCTGCTAGTTATATTGCTCTGAAGAGTGAAACATTACCACTGGGGTGAGACTACTGTCCAAGAGTGGGTTAAAGTGTTACGCCTGTAACAGTATATTTAGGATACAAGTTTCCTAGGTAGAAGCCTTAGTAAGCAGGCATTAAGTATGGTATATGTTTCTTGAAAAAAAACCTATGTTATTCAAAATCAGACAAGTCAGCCTGCCCAGATCCCTGACTGTTTCCATTGCTTATTCTGTAAGTGTTACAATTTCATAGGGACTCAAAATAGCAGCAATTTAAAAAAACAGCCAGATACATAAATGTAAGCCATTCCCACATTAAGGCTATATTTACACTACACCTCTCTTGCACAAAAGCCTATGCAAATGAAGCATGGATTAGCATATTGCTGTGCTTCGTTTGCATAAATAGGGGGTGTTTTGTGCATGAGGCTTTTGCACAAAAAGGAGCTCTGTAGATGGCTCCTTTTTGTGCAAAAACCTCCTCTTCAGGAAGAACGGCTCTTGTAAAGGGGTTTTTGCGCAAAAAGGAGCCGTCTACGCAGCTCCTTTTTGCGCAAAATCTTCTTACACAAAAACAGCTCCTAATTAATTATGCAAATGAGGTGCAGCAATGTACTAATCTGCACTTAATTTGCATAGGCTTTTGCACAAGAGGTGCAGTGTACACTTAGCCATAGTGTGGCACTATCTCCCTCTAGTGGTAGTTAGGCTCCAGGAAGTTGAACTTGCTACAGCCTTGGCTAAGGGATATCTTTTAGCTCAAGTTGTAGAGATCCAGAGGTCACAAGTTCAATTCCCACTGTTGACAACCCACATAGGGGTCAGCATTCCTTAGGGCAGTGTTGCCCAAATGGTGCCCCACAGAACCCTAGGGTTCCACAAAGTGAAACTAAAGCTTCCGTGAGAAAATTCTATTCCCCCACCCTCTGCAGAGCCCATAGGCAGCTCCCATTGGTGCTGGGCCAGTAGGGGTGGGGTCTGGTGAGGTGCCTCCCTGGCTGCTTCATCACCCACCACCACATGCCCCCCTCCTCACTCTGCAGGACTGCCCCTGTCCCACGGGGCCTCTGGTGCTGTGCAGCCTCCTCATCCTCGTGTGCAGATGGTGGCTTTTTGCAGCAGCCGCTGCTGCCTGCACTTGAGCTCTGCCACCCCCCTTGGGGTGCACTCGTGCCCGCTACCCCCCATGCGCTGCTGGTCTCTCTCCCCACACTCCTCCCCACCCTGCTGGGGAAGCAGCAGAGTCTGGTCTGGCAGGGAAGGTCGGGGTTTCTACACAGGAAGCCTGACCTAGTGCTGCAGCTGCGCTGAGATCCCCGCTTGTGGGGGGGACATCTGAGCTCTCTCTCCTACCCCCCTGCTGGGGGAACAAGAACATGCTGCTTGGAGGCTTTCCCTGCTGCAGCAGGGTGCCAAGCCAGGTAAGCGTCCCCCCTCATGCCCAGACCCCGCACCCAAATCCCCTTCCCTCACTCCCCTCCCCCTTCAAGACCTTGCATTTCCGGCTTGCTGACAGACACCCTGCTCCATATACAAGCCTGTTATTAAGGGTGGCGCAAATTCTTTTGAGTTTAAAAGGGTTCTGTGGCCAAATAAAATTGGGAAACACTGCCCTAGGGAAAAGATGGATAAATGGAAGCCATTCCTTTTCATATCTTACTTTAAAATAAACCCTGTATATAATGTGTATCTAGGCAGAAGACAGTAACTGTGCATCAGCACAGAACTTTGTGATACATGCAACAGGACAGGAACTTCCTATTGCAACAGGAAACATGGTAACAGATTGGACTCCCTCCAGGTTAGCAAATTATGTTTTCTAGTTATAAATATCAAGAAGATCACATGGAGATGTCATTGTAATTTACTGAAGACCAGAAAGGACCATTCAGTTTTGGGTGCCATGGGGAAACACCTGGCCAACCATCTGCTTAGTACAACACTTGAAAGGACAAAACAAACAAATAC